CAATGTGGTATTTATAACTATTTAATTCCAAATTCTTTTCAGCCACGCTTTAGAGATGCTAAAAGCTGGTAGATGGGCATTTGGGTATATTCCAGTGTACTAAGCTATTATGTTGGCGTTCCTGAGCTCAATCAGCCAGCTCACTGTCCTCACTTCATTCTTGTACTAACAGTGTGCCAGAGACAAGGCTGGATGTCAGGTTGATTTAGTGACAGCAAGAAAAGGAAAAAAAAACTGGTATAAATCTGCTCTTGATCAATTTTGATAACATAACCTGGAGGCTCTCAGAAAGCATAGAGATGTAATTGACGCAACAACAGGCAGGAGACTTTTGCTTTTCAGGTGAGAAATGAAATACTGTCACAATCTAGGATAAATGAGATGGGAGTGAAGCACACTGCAGGGTCAAGGAAAAAGGGCAGGAAAAATTGGTCATGACTTCTGTGCAGAGAATAAATTGCATCCAGATTTGGAAATGTGGCTCCTGGTTGAAGCTGAATGGGTTTTGATTTGTTTTATTTTTAAAAAGCTTCTCTTACCCATCTGACTAGACAAGTTGATAACCTGATGCATTTCAAAGCACAAGTCTTGACAAAGAAGGGTGATGTTAATAAAAGACACAATCAATGGTGGAAAAGGGATACTGATGGGATTCGAAGTTACTGTGGTTTGATGTCTCATGTGCAAAATGAGATATATTTGTTTGCTTGGATTTTGTAGAATTATAGCTGGCAAAGTTATTCTGTGACAGTTTTAATAAGAGGCAGCACTACATTTAAGGCTACTGTATTTGTTTGTTCTTCCTCATATTTATTTATTACTGAATTTATTATTTTATTCTTACCCCACCTTTCTCCAAGGATGGGATCCAAGGCAGCTTACAATGAATTAAAATAAGGTTCCATTAAAATCTTAGCTTACTTTACAGAAGCTTAAAAAGAAAAATTAAAAAATAACCCACAATATTATTAAAAAGAACCATGGTTAATAACAGTTAAAAATAACATAAGAGAATATGGAGACCATAATTGCAAAATAAAAGATTAAAAGAACATCAGTGTTCTTTTACAAATGTTACTATTGTGACAAGGATGCATATTGCTAGGTACTTAAAAGGTTTTAGCTTTTCAGTGTTTGTGATGTGTCTTCTATATGCTTTCTGAAGGACCCACAGATATGGGGGAAGAATAGCCAAGTCTTCAATGGATAAGGAGAAAGCCTAGCTGAGCACAAAGAGGCATATCTTATGCAGGCAAGCACCAGAGTTTGGAATCATTATGTTTTGAGACCACACTCCCCAGGATCCCCAGTCAGAATGGTCAGTGACCACGCTGGCAGGGGATACTGTGAACTGTAGTCCAAAAAAATAATACAGCACTGTAGACTGGATGACCTGGTCCAGCAGCAATAGCCTTTCTCAATGGGCAGCATCTCTTGTAAAAGAAAAGAAAAACAAACCTCAGGTCCCATTCCATACAGAAATATAAAGAAAAATATGCAGGGAAGTCAGTAATTTACTCAGCTGATAAGTAAGAAGCAGGTTTCCCATCATTCAGTGCAATAGTATCAATTGGCACTTTGAAAAATATTAATGATTTAGTAAACATTAAATTAACATCCAGATCCTATGCATATTTATTTGGAAAGAAGTCCTATTGAATTTAGTGGAGTGTATTCCCTAGTGAAGAATGCTCAGCATTGTGGGCTAAATACCTCTGAATTAAGTACATTAAACTATTTGTACTGGGGATATTCTGATTTGCTATGTCTCCCCAGCGTGCCCTTCAGCTGGCTTCATCCTTTGGCAAACATTTTGTTTCAAGATTGCTGCAAAGATACAGAGCCTTTGCAGACTGCCAGAAATAGTGCAAATTGAGTCCACTTTTATGGTTAGTCTTAGTCTTAGGGAATCATGGGAACTGTATTTTATTGTGGCACCAGAGCTCTCTGACAGAGAAGGCTCAATGTCTCAGAAAAAAAAACAATTCCCATGATTCCCTAGCACCAATCCTAACCCTTAAAGTGGACTCAGTTTGCACTATTTTTGGCAGTCTGCAAAGGCTCACACTAGCAATTCCAAGCAAAGCTGCTGTGTGAACACCAGATGTAAGAATTGATACATTTGGGACCAGAAATTGATATTCCCCCAGTGGATCTAATGATTTTTAGCAGTGAGCTAATCATCACCCTTCTCAACTGGAAGGATCACCGCAGTCAGCACAGACCTGGAAAACACCTTACTATCCACAGCCACACAGAGGTGCTTGAGGAATTGTTGTGAATTCCTGTATAAAATCATGAAATCAAAACTCCAGAGCTATCTATATTCTGGATGTAGCAATCCACTTCACTTTGTTGTGATGCAGTACTTGCCAGTTTAATCAAAATGTACATAACTAGATAAATTAAAAAGATATATAATGCACACTTATCTGTGTCCCCATCCATTTTTAATAGTACTAAACAAAATTTGTAGGGAATAGAGATATGGGTTAAAACATTTGTCAGTTGCTAAAATGGCAGTATTTTGCTGGTTTTGGGTTTTAAAATGGTTTTAAAGAATGCTTTGTTGTATTTTAAACATTTTATCGTACAAGGCTTTGAGGATCTGTGTAGGCAAAGAAGTGATTTATAAATTGTTGTTGCTGTATGCCTTCTTTTCCAATTTATGGTGCCCCTAAGATCACATCATGAGAAGGCATGACTAATTGGAAAAGACAATAATGCTAGGAAAGGTGGATGGAAATAGAAAGAGAGCTGCATGGACTCTATTAGGGAGGTCATGAGCATGAATCTACAAGACCTGAGCAGAGCAGTAGAAGATGGAGGGTGGGTGTTTGGAGATATCTCATCCACAAGGTCACCATGGGTTGAGATCAACTTGAGGGAGGTCAAGAATAACAAAGGTGAACCTACTTTAACAGTCAGCAGCCTCACTGAGTGATGGAGGTCTATTTCGCTGGTGATCAAGGTGCAGCAAGATGACATTTCTAGTCCCTCTCCTGCCTCATGAGATTTTCACACACAGATGGGATAGGGACGAGATCGCTCCCCTGTCCTTATCCCATCTATGACAGTGATCATGCAAAAGCCTTTCATAACATAGCACTGATCCTGTCATTATCCTGTCATTGAAGTGGCATTGCATTAACACAAACTCTCATTAATGCAAAATGCTGGCCAATGCCACTTCAGTGACGGGACAATGACATGAGATCAGTGAGACGTTATTTGAAATGCTTTCGCATGATTGCTGTCACTCGTACTTTCTGGATGGGATAATGTCCAGATAAGTGTGATGTCATGTGAAAGTCCTTCCTGCGGTCACCCATGTGATAATCTCCAGAGATCTGTGGTGCCATCAGGAATTGCAATAGGGCTCCTGCTTCTGGTTGACCCACCATAGATTGCTGTCAGAAGAGGGATGGAAACATCATCCTGCTGCACCCCAATCGCCAGCAGGACAGACGGTGTGACTGCTGTCTATAAAGGTAAGGTTGGAGAGTCAGATCAGGAGGTAATACATGTTGCTAACTGTGTCTTTGATATGGTAAGGGGGGCATTTGCAATCATGGCAATAGTGCCACAATCGTAAACATGAATATTGAATAGTTATGAATGTGTAAGTCTAGCATACACATTTGTAACTGCTCAATACAATGGAAGTCAAGATGATGATGATGATGAAGATGAAGATGAAAATGAAGATGAAGAGGAAGGTAAAGATCCATTTATCCTACCCATAGAAAGGAAGGCCTTCTTTTTCAGGGACTTCCCATTGTACTTCTTGTGCAACTTTTCTGGTCACTGGCTTCTTTCTGGAACAGGTTTTTTTTTATCTATAGGTCCCAAACACACTGCAGAAATGATCTGGTTTGAGACCACTTTAACTGCCCTGGCTCAATGCTAGGGAATTCTGGGGACTGAAGTTTTCTGAGACTTCTGTCAGAGAGTGCCACAGTAAACTACAATTGCTAGGATTCCCTAGCACTGAGCCAGGGCAGTTAAAGAAGTCTCAAACTGGATTATTTTTGCAGTGTGTTTTGGACCTATAGAGACATATACAGAGTGGTGGTGATTTCAGAAACTAAAATTTTCTTAATACCGGTAGTTTGAAAAGAAAGTCTAGCTGCATTCCTTCTTTGACCCATGGAGAAAGTGACAGGAGTAAAAGCATTCAGATTCTGTTACAGGAGGAGAACACAGGGGGAAAACATTAGCACATTGCTCCTGAGGGAAGCCAACTATTAAATTAATCACATTAGGGTACTTTATTATTGAATGTAAATGATATGCTAATTTGATTCAATTATCCCCTGAAACTAGAGAAAGACCTCAGAGATTCCAACAAGTGCAAGTACAGTGAGCTCTTGGTATCTGTTGGGGTTTGGTTCCAGGACCCCCTATGGATACCAAAATCCATGGATGCTCAAATCCCATTATATACAGTGGCATAGTAAAATGGTTCCCCTTATATAAGATGGCCCTGGATGGTTGAATCCATGGATGCAGAATATGTGGATATGGAAGGCCGACTCTAGTTGCAGACAGGGATGGTGAGACTTTTGTTTCAGTTCATCTTTGATAAGAATTTACCGAAATTTGCAAATTTCTTCCGACGTAGGATGTAAAAGATTTTTAAAAATTATATGTGGTTGAAAAATCAAAATTGACAGATTCATCCATCCACAGGTTCTGGTTTTGAGTAGTTAACATCTGAAGGTCTAGACCTTGGGCAAATCACATGCTCTCAGCCTCAAGAAAAGCAATGACAAACCTCCTCTGAACAAATCTTGCCACGGAAACTCCATGATAGGTTTGCATTAGGGTTACCATAAGTTGGAAATAATTTGAAGGCACACAAGAACAGCAGAGTTGTTTCTGAGAGGTTCCTTACTTTTAACTCTGATATGGTAGATCAGCATTGTTTATCCTTACTGGAAATAACTCTGACAATTGAATTTAACACATGGATAGTACACCATACAGAGTACGAGAGAGGCAGAATGGTGTAATGGTTTGAGCACTGGACTATGACTCTGGAGATCAGGGTTTGATTCCCGCTCAGCCATGAAGCTCACTGGGTGACCTTGGACAAGTCACACTCTCTCAGCCTCAGAGGATGGCAATGGCAAACCTTCTCTGGACAATTTTGTCAAGAAAATGCTATGATAGGTTTGCTTCAGGGTCACCATCAGACAGATATGAATTGGAGGAATTTAACACACACAGCACACCAAGGAGCTTAAATACCTGAAGGGCATCAGATTCCATTTGATCTTGGAAGCTAAGCAGGGTCAGCTCTGTTTAATACATGGGTGGGAGACTGCCAATGAGGATACATTGTGAGGATACATTCTAAACAGGTAGTTTTAAAAAAGAACTTGTTAAATTTGGTCTTGAAAGACATGGCAAACATATGTTATATAATGATATGGTGGCTTTCACAATGTGAAATGATCCGTTTGCTTCAAAGGTCCCAGGAAAAAGCCAAGAAAATACCTGAAGATCTACATGTTTGGTACCCTTTGTAAAATAATGTAATGGAAGGGGGTTGTAAAGTGTCTTTTTTTTTCTGAGGGAAGGGGCCATTAGAAACTGGGCTCTGGACTGAGGTACTGGCTGAACCTCCCTCTTATGGGCCCTGAGAGGCATCCTTAGGAGACTTCCAGTGGTTCTTGGATGTCCCTGCAGATTAGGTCCATGCAAGGTGTCCAGCTACAGGAAAATAGCTGGATGCCTCTCCACTGGTTCCCCCCCCTCCGATAAATGGAAATGGCCATGTTGAGGGTGTGTGGGGGTTCATTTAATTTTTTAAAAATTTTAAAAATTAAACATTTGTGCACATACCAAAAAACAATGACAACGCATATCACACAAGATCAAAACATATACACGTTTACATACCAATACTGATGTTCCATCATATTTTGATCCCATACATCCACTAACATACCTTCCCCTCAATATCTCATTCCAAGTCTTTCTTTTAATTCATATTCTTAAATCTTCTATTATTCTCTTTACTTAACCTTCTCAGACCCTCTTCCTTCTTCTTATCCATCCCTTCTATTCTCACTATACAACTACCTTCCACATAAAAAACCTTCTTTTCAGCTTTCTCTTCCCTTCTCTTCTATTCTTTATCTCACTTACTCTAACCTTCATCCTTACTTACTTAAAACTTTCTTTAAAAATTCCCCTACACATCCTTCCCATCAGTATCAGCTTCATTTTTGTTGAGTTTTGACTTTCTATTTAAAAAAAACAACAAAACTTAACAAAACAAAATTAAAACAAAACAAAACTTTAAAAGGTAGCTTTTGGAGGGGATTTTGTTTTGTTAATAATTCAAAATGATAAATAATTCAAGCCTCTGCAGCAACTAAAAAGTGTATGATGATAGCATAAATTTGATTTACTCTCCTGCAACTCACTAACAGGATGCCAATCCTTATTGTTTAAAAATGTTCTTAAAAATAGAAACATATTCTAAAAATGTTTCTAAAAACAAGGCTCCATCCTGTCCCCGATGCTCTTTAATATCTATATGAAGCCGCTGGGAGAAATCATCTGGAGACATGGAGCAGCGTGTTATCAGTACGCTGATGACACCCAAATATATTTCTCAATTTCTTCGATCAGCAGCCATGACGACAGATGGCATTTCTCCGCTCAGTCAATGTCTGGAAGCGGTAATGGTCTGGATGAGGAAAAACCGACTCATACTGAATCCAGAGAAAATGGAGGTGCTTACAATAGGGGCCCCTAAACCAGGTATTGGGATACAATCCCCAGTCCCATATGGGGTCACACTCTCCTCAAAGGACTGTGTTCGCAGTTTGGGGGTGCTCCTAGACCCCTCATGTTGATCAGGTGAATGCGATAGTCAGGAGTGCCTGTTATCAGCTCTGACAGATATGCCAACAGCGCCCTTACCTGGAAATAAGGGACCTAGAAACTGTAGTACATGCACTGGTAACCTCACGACTGGATTTCTGTAACGCATGCTACATGGGGCTACCCTTATACCTAGTTTGGAAACTACAACTGGTACAAAATATGGCAGCCAGGTTGATCACTGGGAAATCTAGAAGGGATCATATTACACCGAATCTGAAATCCCTTCACTGGCTGCCTATTGGTTTCCGAGCACAGTACAAGGTG